TAGCTGAAAGCAAAAAGTTAGGAATTTTGGTATCAATTAATTACATCAAATCGTTTGTAAGAGTTTTGCAGTCCAGATCTAGTTACACTGATTACAATCTTTATCTGAATGTTAAACACTTCCATTTCCCATTGGCCCTGGGATATGAAAGATATAATGAGAGACACAATTCAACATCTTGAAGTTTACACATTTCCTGCCTCTTTGTGAATTAATGTGGTCAGAGGCAGGTATGTGTATTCACATTCATAAAAAAATTTTCTTACAGGTTTATTTCCAAAAATAAATTTCAATGTTATCATTCCATAGCAATAAATCTGTTCATTCACTAATTCAGCAACCTGGAAAATGAATTTTTAAATATAATGTTAGACTTATTATTACAATCTTGAACAACCTTCCTAATGAAAGAAAATAGAAACCACAAATAAACAGACATCCAACAGACATGTTAGACTTATTATTATAATCTTGAACAACCTTCCTAATGAAAGAAAATAAAGACCACAAATAAACAGACATCCTTGACTTCATATTCTATATCTGGTATAAGACTGATAAACTTAACTTTAAGGCACAAACAGTTGCAAATAACATAAGTGAAATATTTATAAATAAATCAATTGGAAAATAAGAATTTAACCAATATGTGTCAATTTGAAGTTTGGAGGGACATAGTTGAATTGGATAGAAAATTTCAGTTATAGAAATTTGCTCATGGAATAATCTGTACTCTTATCTTCTTCTTTCTCCCGAAGTCTTTCAACTTACAAAAATCTGCTCCAGAGGATTGGGCGGTACTCTATAACAATATAGCAGGTGGTTTCCATGCTCTACTAAGAATGGAAGAAATCCTTCTGCAAATGCTCCTACCACTATTGGGACCACTTTGGCCTTTATTTTGCACATTCTCCCCAGATCTTTCTTCAGGCCATAATACTTTTCCAGTTTCTCATACTCCTTCCTGATGTTGCTGTCAATTGGCAACAACAGCTATCACCACTGCTGTCTTCTACCAAGTTGATTGGTCCCTGTCTGAATCTAGAAATCTCACAGGATCTTAGTCCTTTTACTTTTCACAATTTTCTATAGAATCTTCCCTCTAGGCATAGAAGAGTCTACACACAGAGAGAGAGAGAGAGGGAGGGAGGGAGAGAGACCAACTTTTCTAAAACCAACCATCAAATACTAGTTAGCAGTGTTCAGTTTCACATTTGGAAAGAAAAATTAAAACTATATATGTGATACTTATCAACAGCTCTTCAGCCTTTTCTTAGTATCACATAGCAAACTGAATAGAACTAATGTAGTGAATTGGTATTAGGGAATAAGCTTGGGAGACAGGAGGAATAGGAGCAGCCTAGACACTGTTCCTAAAAAGAAAGTATGAGTTGGAAGGATGGAGGAGAGTAATGAAAACATTTTAGAAAGGACTCTGTAGTTTTAGAACAGAAATGTCAAACTCAATTTCTTTGAGGGCCACCTCAGTGTTATGTTTGACCTTGGGGTTGGTGGGCATGGCCAGGGTGGACATGGCCAGCTCAATGTCACTTATGTTGGGGGCACCTGTGGTGGCTCATGCAGGGCTATGGGGATCCATTGTCTCCAGAGGAGGAAGGTGAGACCAGAGAGTGCCAAACCCTTGTCCTCCAGAAGAGCCTCACCATTCCCCTTGGACCACACGAAGGACTAGGCAGATGGCAGCATAGGCTATCTAAAACCCTAGATAGTGGAGGGCAAGTGCGCAACCTAGCCCTAAAGTTCCCAGGGCACCGGGACCTCACAGCCCAGCCAGCCCAGTCCCACTTCTTCAAGAAGGTATCCAGTTGCCCTTATCTCCTTGAGGCTGCTGCTGCTGTTCTTCTTACTCTTCTTGGCCAGGTTGTTCATAGTGTGTGTGGGAGGGCAAAGTATGTGGGTCAGAGGGAGGCCCATTCCCTCTTCATGCAAGGAGACCTGGCTTTGTAACCAAACTCATCCTAGGATGAGAGAGCACCAGGTGAGGTCAGGAGGAGGAGACAACAGGATAGTGAAAGGGCAGCAGGGCTGCTGGTGGCCAAGTGCTAAGGCAAGACTTCCCTCAGACACTCTCTCCTTCTCTTTATAATCTCCTTTCCTTCCTTCCTTCCTTCCTTCCTTCCTTCCTTCCTTCCTTCCTTCCTTCCTTCCTTCCTTCCTTCTCCTTCCTTCCTTCTCTTTTTCCTTCCTCTTCATTCTCTTTCCTTCTTCCCCTCTTGTTTTTCCTTCCTTGTTCTCTTCCCATCTTTCCTTGTTTTTCTTTTTCTTTCCTCTTTCCCTTTCTCCTTTCCTGTCCCTTCTGGGATGCTTAAATGCAAAAAGGAAATATTTCTCCTTTTGTTTTGTTTTGCTTTTAGTTTTGCTAACCTTCTGCCAGTGAAAACAGAGCCCAGTGGGGCCCGTGTGTGGCCCCCAGCCCCACTTTTGGCTGTGACTGCCTCCTGAGTCCTCTCCAAGCTCCATTTTCACTGGCAGAAGTCTGCAGGAAGTCATTGTGGCCAAAAATGGAACCTGGGGGGGCCACACATGGCCCTCCTGAGCTCTGGTTTTGCTCCATATCATGCACAATATGCTGAATTCTATCCACTACAGTGAATGTAATGCAAAACAAGCTGTCTTTGCCAACTAGGTGAGACAAGGGCTAGCACAGCAACAACCCAGCAGTGTAAGTAAGTAACTACATAATTCCAGAATCAGACACAGCCATTTTAAAGAGTGGCACTGATACCAGGAAAGTGCTTTCCTTTTAAAGCTGAAGTGCTGTCTGGCTTAGTGTACTAAATGGGGTGTTTGTGTATGTTAATAATAATAGAAAATAAAAATGATAAGTATAGATATTATACAACACAGGAATGTGGCAAATTTATGGAGATTGCTTTAATATAACTAGTATTTCATGAATAATCTTTAAGCTTCCACTCTCCACTCAGCTTAAAATGTGGTCTATTTGCTAAAGTCTACTTGTGAGCATCATGGCTGTATAGCAAAATGGTTACTTCTGAATGAGCAGCTGATCATTTAATTTCTCCAAGAAATGTCAGCAGAAATATCAGAGATTCAGAATAGATACATTTTTCTCCATCCTCTGCTATTTCTTGCCAAATGTTTCATAACTCTTTTCTAAAGATGAATGGCTCAATTTAATTATTTTATATAGTTTTTTCTGCATAAATTATTTTGAATTATAACATGTATACAATATAGCTCTATAGATTTCCAATGCTTCATTTTTAATGCCTCACAGTGAACATATAGCCTTAAAGTTGCAATCCCATATCAACAAGACTTTCCTTTCAGTAGGTCTGTAAGATGGCATAAAAGGTTATGATACATAAGACATACAAAGTTTCTGGTCAATGGGTTGCATCTGTCCACATAGTATGGCTTTCTGATAAAATATAACTTAGGTTTATATCAGATCCCAGCAGTAGCAATGTACTTTATTATTACCACAACCTCTATACGTGCCATAAAGAAACCACTTCACAAATATTCTGTTCTGTGTTCCTTATTTTGTTCTATATCCAATCCTGTGTCCTAATCATTGTCTAATCATTGTTTTAAACCCAATCTGCTGAAATGTGTAATATCTTCTATTATGGTATTATCCATTTTACAGTCTTAATTTGATTTTAGATGCATTTCCTTTTCCCATAGTATATTTCAAAATATTCTTTTATTTTGGCAAACCCGAAATTCCAGAAAGTGGAGTAGGGGAGACATGACATTTCAGTGATATGAAAACCAAATGCTACCATGGAGAGTTGACTGAAGGAAATCTGTGTCCTGTTTCATGAGAATATTAGAAGCACAGGAGAACAGATGACTATTGGGCTATTTAAGATAATTGTGGTATTGATACAGATGTCCCTGCCAGATTACATCACTTGTTATGGAACCTGATTCCTTCACCTCCTGAACTATAGACTAAGATCAATTTCTCCTGCCTGTATTTTGATTGATTGCTACAGATAACAAGATACCACATTGACTCTCCCAATCCTAATCAGGTTGAGCATGCAAGAACAATCAATCAAAACTTTTTCTTCTGTCCTGAACAATCAGCACTCACTTTCTTTAACATTACATGTACATTTAAAGCACATGGAAATGTTAAATGCCACCTGTAATGAAGCAAAGAGGCAAGGTGGATAGGCAGCCCTTCAGAAAGATATGTCCAACTAAGGGTTTTCAAGATTAGAGTTTCTAATGAAATAATCATACAACTGATTGGAAAGCCTTTCATTTGGGAGAGAAGCCAATATAGCAATCCGATCCACATCTGCTGTAAAAAAATCTCATTTGAGTCATGCTTGACTCCTGACAACTGTATAGTTGGGTTTACCATTTTGGTTTATTTGGCAATGAAGCAGAAATGGCTTGCCGCTCCCTTCTTAATTTGGTTGACTACTCTGTTGTACATTCTGCAGTGTTGAATAGGGCATATACTAGTGGAAAATGTGTGCAGGGTGGCTGCCAAAGGTTCTTCCTAGGTCCACAAATATTGTGGCAACTTGCCAAAGAAGGAAGATGTCAATTATCTCAGTTTTTGAACATTTCAGTATTATGAACATTTCAGTTTATGAACATTTCAGTATTGTATCTATTGTATCTATTTTTATCAGATAAGTACTCCGGAAATGCTGACTTGGCAAGAGCATTCATTAAGCGTACTGGTGTTGACAGTACTTCTGTTCCTTTTCCCCTTTTATTCTAAGAATTAAGTATTTTATGTACATTGAAACCTGTTAATGCCTTTTAAACAGTTCTGTTTAGCTGTTCATAAACAATAAAGTTGCTGTAGGTATCTGTGGCAAAAAGCACAATCAAAATTGCTTCAATACTAGTATGTGTGTATATGTGTATTTGTATTTGCATACATACACATAGATTTTTTTCTACATATATGAATATTTGTTCATTTTACATACAGATAAACACACACACACACACACACACACACACACACACACACAATAAATGTTGTAGGATAACTTGTAAGATTTTCATTGGAAGAATATACAGCCACTTGCCTTTCTTTAAAGTTGATTAAGATCTCTATCAAAAGTCATGTGTGTGTGTGTGAGTATGTGTATATATACATACATACATATATGTATGCATATACCCGTATACTTATACATACATACACATATACACACATCACAATAAATTAACACTGCATAGGTCATTGTCCTTGTTTTGCTTTTGTTCTGAAAAATTATTGCAGTACACTCAATTCATTGATGGAGTTCAATATGGAGCAAACAGGACAGGTGTGTGGGTCGTCCGTATAGGTCCAGGGGCAGGTCGAAGAAGTGAGGGAGGAAGTGCAGAAGTCTGAAAAAGTGTAGCTGGTGGGGCTGTTCGAAGACTGAAAGGGGAATTTACAGCAACAGCAGCAGCTGCTGCTGCAGCTGCCAGTGGATTAGGGAGAATCCGTGGAGCTACTGGTTTTGCAGCTTCTTTTGAAAATACAAGTTTGACCTGAAAGAGGAGGGACAACATAAGAAAGAATGTTATTTGTTCAGATCACAAACACTGAAAATGAATTTTTATGCAAAATATCTAACATACTTGATATAGCAAAAGGAAACGTAAATCAAAGGTTTTAAAGGAAAATAAAATATTTTAAAAATTAAAATAAGTAAATAAGAACAACAGAAAAGAGGCTTAATATATATAAGGAATCAGAAACTCATTACATTCTGATAATCAATATTTACAGATTTCATACTGGACAAAACATGTTCATAAATTGTTATGCAAAGGTTCTCATTTTATGAGAAACAAATGTACATTTTCAATTTTCCCAATATATCTCTCTCCATTTCCTGATTAACTGTCTTTCTGTGAACAAGCTGTCTTTTTAACATCAAAATGCAAAATGCAAGGTCCTATCATGTTCCCAAACAGAACTTTGTATATGACCAAAGGAAACAATGTATGGAATGAGAATTCTATTCTCAACGGATTGCTTCAATGAAGCCAGTTTAATCACCAGGCTAGAAACCAGGAGACTGTAAATTCTAGTTCTGCCCTAGGAATGAAAGCCAGTTGGGTCAGTCACTGCCTCTCAGGCCAACCCACTTCATAAGGATTTTTGTTGTGGGTAAAATAGGAAGGGTTATTATATATGTTCATCACCAGGAATTATTTACAAAATATAATAAAGAAAGTGGAATAAAAATAGACTGACAGACAGATATAGAAAAGGGATGTCAAACTCAATTTCATTGGAGGGCCGCATAAGGGTAGTCTTTGACCTTGGGGGCCAGGGTGGGTGTAGCCAGCTTGACGTCACTTGTGTCAAAGATGCCTGTGGTGGTTGGAGTGCTCTGCCAGTGAAAACAGGCTCCCGAGCTCTATTTTCAGCTGCGACAGTCTCCTGCAACCCTCTGCCAGTGAAAATGGAGGGCCAGCTGTGGCCTTTCTAAGCTCCATGTTTGCTGGCAGAGTCACCATGGGCCAATCCTTTTCTGTTTCCAGGGCAGCCCTGTGGTCCAGATCTAAGCTCCCCAGGGGCTGAATCTGGCCCCCGGGCCTTTAGTTTGACACCCCTGAGATAGATAAATGATAGATAGATAGATAGATAGATAGATAGATAGATAGATAGATAGATAGATAGATAG